GCACCGGCCCTCAGCAGCAACCGCGCCACTTTTTGATTATCTCTTTCCAAAGCCAAGTACAGCGGCGTGTAGCCCGTCCTCGTTTCGCGATTGGGATCCTGGCCGAGCTCGACGAATCTCTCGATGATTCTCAATTGATCGTTGGACGCGCCGCAGCTGCAGACCAGATGGAAGTGCGTCAGACCGGTCGCCTCGTCGACGTAATCCACGTCGTATCTCGCGTAAATTTTGAGAAGCTTGAGACATAACTCATCGACTAGGTCGCACATCCAACTGACTCCTCGAAACGCGTCATACGACTTGTATAGACGATGCAGCGGCGTGGCGCGACGCAACGTTGGTCTGACTTCGCCCCTGCCGCACTCGGCTTCGACGGGCTCGTCCACGTAGCCGAACATGATCAAAAAATCAGCGAACGTCTCTGATCCTGGATCCGGTGTACCAATGTCGTCGAGCAGACGCTCGATTTCTTCGGGTCGAAAGATATGCCGGAGATTGGGTAAGTCGTCCTTCCAATCTTCAATTAACGCCTCGACTCGGCGAAAAAAGGCGTCTCGATTTGATGATTGGCCCTTCCATTGGACGTTTTCTAGTAAGCTTTTCAACTGATTAGTACGGCTTTGGTTCATCTTTCAATACTGCACTCACACAATACACACACGATAGCTTATACTTATATTTAAAATATTTTTACTCTTTCGCTTGCTACGATCGACGCGATCTTTTCTACAGTTGTTCACTCTGCGACGTTATAACGAGCACTGATCTCTGAAAAAACGCGTGGCCAAATTAGTAAATAGAGATACATGTAGCATCAGCTGTGCCCCCTCCGCTTTCTCTACGCTTTCTAATTGAATGGTTGATATAAAAAAGAAAATTCGGGCCTTACTTGCGACTCGATTTTTTTCGGGTTACTGATCCATATGTCCCTATAATTAAAAGTTGTCGGCAAATTGTGCATTTACGAGGTAATGTAGAGAGGTAAAACACTGAATAGTCGTTATTGCTACTCGTGGTTTATAACCTCGTATGTTGCCACGTGTTATTTATTTCAATTTCAAATCATCAAGACGTTCACACTAATCATAAAATCATTCACGTGGAAATAAAACTGTGGTAAAATTATGGGAAAAAGTTTGCTAAAATTATTGATTTAGCTCGTTTGGCATAGTTTTCCTATGATTTAAAAATCACTTGAAAAAAATTACGGGAAAACTATAGCAAACAAGCTAAATCAATAATTTTCCCATACTTTTTTCCCATAATTTTATCACAGTTTTATTTCCACATCGGTAAAGTAGGGAAATCAAAACGCCAAAACTGAAACTTCAGGATCTTTACCTTTTTAGTTTAATTTTTGGTTTTGAAATTTCATTCAACTGTTTCGGATTTTAAATATTATTTTGTTCATTTATTTCTTAGTTTACTTGGGTTTTAATTTTTTTTTTTTTAATCTTATTGTTAAATGAAAAAAAAAAAAAATAAATGTTAATATTTGAAGAATCTATTTTTTGCTAAATAAAAAATAATTATATTCTTTAAATTTATGTACAGTAAAAAACGAACAGATCTGAAATAAGAAAAACCTGTAGAATTTTCAATTTTTTTTTGTGAAATTCGTATTTAATATTATCTTAAATGCTTGTTTTAATCGCTAGATGTCATAATTGATTCCAAACGTAATCGATAAGTTTTCTTGTTATATATCAGCTATTATTCCACCGTTGGAATAACGTAGATTTGGGAAAGATTTTCTACCTTTTTTTGCAGAAATAATCCAACGAGATACGCGCGCATTATATACAATATAATATATAAACGTGTACACTATTCCCAAAATTGGTAATTGACTCTAGGTGCATCGAGCTTGAAACTATGCATCAGCTCTGGTCGAATGATTCTGACCCACGATGAACGCGCTCAGACACACACACAGACACACACTCACACGCAGTCATTTAGAGCTCGCATGCTGGCAACCGTGTTTAACTGTGCAATACATTATAGATCATATAATTCGGCGATTACCAGTTGTAGCATTAGCATATAGTTTATATCGGCAGAAATGTTAATTAGCTTTCTACACAAATTATAATGGCGAGTTTAGCTATACGCGGTATATTATATGTATGAATTCATTCATGTTAATTAGCCCACGCGCCGTTTTCAAATTATTCGTCGGTATAAGTGTGCGCGCTTGATTTGAGCTCGGATACTAGATTCACCAGTTCTAGTTATTATTTTTTTTTTTCTCATTTCAATTATATCATGACTGCATTATCATTCGAAAAGTTGCACGAGATAATCTTGAATAAATAAATTTTCGTCGCCGCTCGAATCGAAGCTTTATCGAGAAACACTTATTTCACTCTAATTCGGGCTAAAAGGCATTTCGTGCGCGCGCCCTTTATATACATACGTGCGCACAGCCACATAATTAGCTTAATGCTTCCTTTGAAGCTCTTCTCTTTCTCTTTCTCTCTATGTACCAGGCGTTTGGGCACGCGCTTATATATGCCTACATACATTTATCAAGACGTACTACTGATTGCCACGCGGTGTATACCCAAACCCTCACCTTCGATATATACACGTGTGTGTGTGCGCGCGCGGCAACCTACCCCCGCACACGAAACGTTTACTCTCAAAGTAGTATAGCTGCCGCTGCTACGGGAGATTGCGCGGTTTCGCCTGCTTTAGACAGTTTATTTCGCGAATATTCACGAGGATGGAATTTAATTGACTGCGATTATAAAGCCAGCGCGCGTCGGGGTTAATTTTCGCATTGTCGAGAGTTTCTCGTTGCGCGACTCGCGGAGATTATTTTTTGTTGCTCTGGTATATCGTAGAAACTCACCCGCTGCTGCTGCTGCTTCTTCTTGAAATTCTTCAACAATTTGCTAACACTACCGGGCACTCTTCTAGTTGAGGCGAAAATTTTGACGACCGCCTTGATTTCGGGTAAGTAATCGTGCTTTAAATCATGCTCTTTTTTTACCACCCCGATTGGATATACGAGCTCGTGTCGGCGTCTTGCCGTGCTGCAGTTTCAAAGTCGACTGCACGAGAGAGCTTAGCTTTTGGCACACACAGCACAGCACAGGGCCGCGGGATACCGCTGCATACTTGAATCGCGCCCGCCTGGGATAGATATATAAGAGAGCGAACGCGTGAAGCCTTTTTCCGGGGCTAATATTTTCGAGAAGGGATAAAGCAACTACTAACACACATTGTTCTCATTGTAAAACAAAGAGAGAGAGAAAGGCGCGAAGGAAGGAAAAAAGTAGGCCGAAAATGAATGACGTTGCATACAGAATAGCTGCGGCTTGTTTTTTTTCTCTTTTTTTTTTACTTCGCTGTCATTATTCAACCTGCAGTCGCAATCCTCGAGCTCTCGTGCCTTATAACGACTTTTGCAAGCTATAATAATCTTGTCGGTGAATTTGACTTTGGCTGGTGATGTGCACTAATCAACGCCCGAATCAATTTTGCCATTCGTTACCAATTACGTCGTCCATCTCCATTATAGTTCCAAATTACAAGTGAGCTATATATTAACGAGTGCATACGTATATGTATGTGGCATAACAAGGATTATTTTTATACCGCACAACGTGTACGTAGGACATGTAAATGTATTATTAATTGATCGATCTGCGTCAAACGTGTGTTGCACATTATCTTCTCTCGTGTTTCGTTTCGGAACTCACTTCGGGTTTTTCGAACGCAACGCACGACACTATCCGAAACTGTAGCCTTGACGCACGCAACGTCTGAAAGATAATCTTCGTTTCTTTCGTTTAAGGGCGACGTGTATAAAAGAAGCTCATCAAGAAAGATAATACTTTCTTTTCTTCTATTTCAATTTTGCTTTTGATAGTTTAATTACTTTTTTGATTGTTATAACCATTCATACACGAAAATCAGGTCAGTGTTGCTTATAATTGCGTACAAAAATGTTACCATCCTTCATTTATTAAGATTTTAGATCAAGTGCGAGTACTACGAAAAAGCACAATTTTTATATCCTTCATTATTTTTTTTTTACGTAGAAGAAGCTCTGTAATTTAAAAAGCACATTGTTTGTTATAATTTTTTGTATGAGTGTGCGTTTATTTATTGTCAAACATTTTGTTGAGAACGGATTTTTTTTCGTCCAATTGTAATGAAGTAAGTTTTATTTATCGCAATTTTTATTTATGGTAGTACTGTAAGAAGTTTTAGCGCAGTTGCTTTATAATTGGAAAAGTTGTTTAAGGTTTTTAACATTTTTTCTGACGAAAATAAAAACCGTTGCCCAATGCGTTGGCAGATAGCCTCTTTCAGAAGAGGCAAGTATTTCTATAATTATGTATAAATACTAGTATGTTATTAGCAAAATTCCGATAAATTAAAAGAAAATAATATTTCATTTTCAAACGGTAAAATTTATATTTAGCAACGTAGTTGATCGAGATGTCTTTCGATTATTAGATACAAGATATGATTTGCATCGTAACTAAATTTTCATGACTTTTAGATTTTTTTAACGATAATAGATATTGTTAAATCTTTACGTGTACGAAAAACAAGTGTGAAGAAGGGGCAGTCGGTATGTTGAGTTTAATAGTACTTTACGATACAAGGGATATAAGAAACCTTCGCTACGCTCGGGCCCCAAACTACGCCGTGCCGTAAAGTGTCCCCTATGGCCCGAGTATCGTACTCAATTTTATAGCACTGATCTAAGTTCACATTTATGGCACACTTTTCGGCGACATAAATGTGAAATTAAGACACGCAGTGCTATAAAAACAATTCTAGTTTCGAGACGGGGATTGGCTATTGGCATACTGATAAAAGATTTTTCATAGTCACAGCAGAGTTAATAACATTTTGAAATATTTTATTGATCTTATAATGCTTTATTGTTCACACAAATCGAGTACATTTGTGAGAAAGATTGTCTACAATTACATAGCGTTCAATTCATATGATTTTAGATGTACATGTTGCGTCGAACAAAACTCTCACTTCTAAGGTTTGCGAAAATTGTGTACTGTCATTATTCTCGCGGCTATACTTGTGACTAATATTTCATTCGATGGGCTTGCTCCGATCATGCACTACTTTTATGTGAGATTTGAGATAACTTTGATATCCAAATGATTTCCGGCAAATGTCACATTTGAAAGGTTTGATACGACCATGTACTGCATTTATATGAATTTTGAGTTGTTGTTTTAATCCACTTGATTTTTGGCAAATATTACATTAAAAAAGTTTGCTCCGTTTATGAACTCTTCTTATATGAGCATTGAGAGTACCCTTGCGACCATAAAACTTGTGACAAATGCCACATTCAAAGTGCTTGATACTATTATGTACTGAATTTATATGCCTGTTGAGGTCACTCTTTCTGCCGTATGATTTCTGGCAAGTCCCACATTTGAAGGGTTTGCTCCTGTTATGTACTGTACTCATGTGAGATTTGAGATGTGCTGTTTGTCCAAATGATCTGTGACAAATATCACACTCAAAGGGTTTGCTCTGTTTATGTACTGTTCTTATGTGTCTATTGAAGTTACCCTTTTCTCCAAACGATTTTTGACAAATATCACATTCAAAGTGCTTGATACTATTATGTACTGAATTTATATGCCTGTTGAGGTCACTCTTTCTGCCGTATGATTTCTGGCAAGTCCCACATTTGAAGGGTTTGCTCCTGTTATGTACTGTCCTCGTGTGAGATTTGAGATGTGCTGTTTGTCCAAATGATCTGTGACAAATATCACACTCAAAGGGTTTGCTACAATTATGTACTACATTTATGTGTTTATTGAGGGAGCTCTTTTCTCCAAACGATTTTTGACAAATATCACATTCAAAGGGTTTACTACGATTATGCACTGTATTCAAGTGTCTTTTGAGATTATTTTGTCCAAATGATTTGTGACAAATCTCACATTCAAAGGGTTTTCTTCGATCATGTACCGTCACTAAGTGAGTTTTAAGATATCCTTTTTGTCCAAATGATTTGTGACATATGTCACATTCAAAAGGTTTGCTGCGATTATGTACTACTTTAACATGAACTTTAAGATGACTCCGGTACCCAAATGACTTGTGACAAATGTGACATTCAAAGGGTTTGATACGATGATCTACTGCCATTATGTGATTTTGGTGCAGTTGTTTTTGTCCAAATGATTGGTGACAAATATCCCTCTCAAAGGGTTTGCTCCGATGTACTATATCAGTGATGTGAGATTTGAAGGTATCTTTGCAACTAAATGATTTGTGACAAACGTCACACTCGAAGAGCTTGCTATGATCATGCATGACGTTTATGTGAGTTTTGTGGTCCCGTTTGTAAGCTAATGATTTATGGTTAATTTCATTTTCATATTGTCTCTGATGTGTATTTTTTCTAATTATGTTAACCACCTTATATTCATTAATTTTTGACCAAAGATTTACTTGAAACTGATCATTATCATAATAATCTAAACCCTCCTTCACCTTTTTTTTTCCTCAAAATCTGTAAGCTTTTTTCTTCCAAGTAATTAGTCTGAATTTGATTTTCTAATTTTACAATAGGTGAGCTACTTTGATCCTCAGATTTGCAGATGGTTTTCCATAAAGGTTTAACATCTTTGCACTCGAAATCTATGTGTACAATCTCATTAATGTAATTATCCTGAATTTGGTTTTCCATTTTTACAATTGGTAAGCAAATATGATGTTCAGTTTTGCAGATATTCGTCGATAAACACTTGAGTTCAGGTTTAAGATCTTTACACTCAAAATCTATAAATATTTTTTCATCTGCCTTTTCTTGTACCACCATAACCTCATTCATATGTTTGGTCTGAAATTAAAATTATGGAATAGTTTTCGATACGGTAATATTAGAATATAATTCAAATTATCCAACTCACTGGTGATTTATAAAACGGGAATGTTTCGACATTTTTGACTTCGCAAGAGTCCATCAAATTGAAATTGTAATCATCACCTGCATTCTGCCAAGCATCATTCGGTTCTTCTTTCATTCTGAACAATAATCAAATTTGATAAAGCTATCGCTTGATAAAATATAAAGGCATGTAAAAAAATACTATACTTAAATGAATTTTCTCTGCTTTCCATCATTCACTATGAGTTTTCACGAAATATGCGAAATATATATTCGAGGTTATGCGCTTCGAGCAACCAATACTTTACCCCGATTTCACAAATTTGTAAACATTGGAATTCAGCTCTTGGTTAGTAACTGTACAGTGTACACACTAGGCGTATATCAGCAAGGTTATTCGGCGATTGTGATGACTTCTTGGCGATACTTTCCCCCTCCAATGTCGACTGGCCATATGTAATAATGGCTATGCGATACATAGAGGCACTCCTATGTCATTAAAACTACACCAAAATTGAAATGAAAATTTTCTCATACGAGCGCATGATGTGCTGACACATACGATGTGCGATATACATGCGGAGAAGTATTTGCATAAAGAAGTATATCTTTGAACTCACACGAACACTCACGTGATATTGTGAATGAAGTTTGAATGTTCATTAGAGTGTTTGTAAAATATTTACGGCAGTTGCGTCGAAAATTTTAAAAAATATGTGATTTTCATTATTTATATTTGTGAAGCATTAAAAACGATAAACGATTTAATATTTGACAGTGGAGAAAACGTTCATTCCACGAAAACAAAATTTTTAACTAAATAGTAATTTTGCATTTTTTGATTTTTCATTTTTTACAAATTTGTATGTTTTTTCCCATTTTTTTTCGTCAAATTTTAAGGGTTTTAAAGTAAATTATGATCAAACCATATGAGGATTAATTTTCAAAATTTAGCGGAAAAGCTAAATGATTATTAATCTCAAAAAAAAATCATTACTCATTCACATTTGATACCAGCATCGATAAGTAAACTCTGTTCATATCCCGTTTTTCTTACTCTATACGATTCTACGTGAAAGACTACACACAGAAATGGCATTCTTAAAGAGACGAAAAATCTTGAAAAAAAAAAAAAAATAGAATATCGTTGGTTCACATATGTGCACCGTGTGTCTTATAACTCGCTCTAACAGGAGCACGTTTGTGTAACGCGCGCATCGATCTCGAAAGAAAAATGAGAAAAACGACTCGTCCTTGACCTTTTTGTCATAATACATGCACACACACAGTCACTCATACACAGACACACACACACACATGACAAGTGCATCCTGAAACACGGTTTTATTCAAATGATATTGCCTGCAGGCGTGAAAATAACACAGTCATGTAATTCATCATAATATGCGCGAGAAAGGCGGGCTTTTTATGCAAGCGCGAGCGAGCGTGCTAAATATGAAACTCCGAGGAAGCGCGAGTGTATATTTGTTGATGCACGAAAGGATAATAATTCGCTTCTAAAGTTGTCGTGGTGAAAAATGATTTTTCAAGTGTCATAATTTTCTTTCAAAATCTCTTCAATCTTTGATAAAAATACAGTAATTATCTTAAATTTTTTTAAAGAATTAATTAACAAAAATTTGTATCACCAACTATTCATTCATCGTATCACAGTAATAGCTAAAATAAACCAATGGAATTGCCAGATACAAGTGAGAGTAGAAGTACGTCAAGCATTATTGGACATGCCTCTAGCGTCTCGTTTTAAGGTGGAGCACTCGCTCGATTTACTAGGAGAGCAAGAGTCCGTGCGTAAACGTCTTTTTTTCTCGCCGCGCGTCGCGCGTTGACGTGTTCGCCGATACGAGCGAGCCGCGTCGCAACGTAAGTTGCACGATTTTTGCCTCGCAAATGCGACAGGCATTCATGAGGCTCGAAGAGCTCGAGCATCGCGCGTATGAATGCATCATAATAGGCACACGCGTGCGTGCGAGCGAGCGAGAGCTATGATGCACACACAAAGAGCGAAGACGGACGTACAATCGCGGATTCTCTCTCTCGCGTTCAAGCAATGTGCAGCAGTATCGCGTATACACACAATGTGCAGTTGCGGGTGCGCGTGCACTCGAGGCGTAAGTGCGACGCGACTCGGAAATTCGCAACTAAGTAACGAGAGAGCAGAGAGCGCGAAGAGCTGTACGATACGAGGTCGACCGTTTCGTATATAGGAGCGGCGGCGGCAGCGACGACGACGACGAAGATGACGATGTTTCGCAATCGCGCGCGAACGTATAAGAGGCTCGTACTCCGCCTGAGATATTATTGCGCAATCGGTCGGATATTCATGGGAGATGTATACGATTGTTGTACTGACGTTTTTTTTTACAATGTATCGATTACATTAAGTATTAATAATACCAATTTTGTATAAAAGTTGAAATAATTTAAAGAATAATGATAAAAGTTAATAATAAAAAAAATTTTCTAGCGAATGGAATCTATAGTTGGCTTCTTGTAGGTAGTTATGGAGTCTACTATCATCTGCCCCTGTGGCCTAATGGATAAGGCATCGGTCTCCTAAACCGGGGATTGTGGGTTCGAGTCCCACCAGGGGTACACCTCCTTTTTTGTCTTTTTATGGTTGCAACGTTGCTTCGTAGATAAACTTTAATCACTCAATAATTATTAATTAGCTTCTAGAGTTTATTCATTGATTAAATAAACAAATGAATGTTCCCGTAAATGGTTCATACCTTCTATTCAATCATTTTGCTTGTTGCTAGAGTACGCTCTGTGCGAAGATGTAAGCTATATATTGTGAAGCAGAGGTCATAGAACGATATTTTGCTTCTGTAGCAGGGTTGAAGTATTTATTGAAATAGTAAAGATGTATATTAAGCTTGCATAAGACCAAAAACGTTAGGAGCCGTAGATTATTTTCGAAATTATATTAACAAAAACGTTAAGATTCGTAAATCAATTTGAAAGTTATAGCCTAAGCATCAAAATTATCCTTTGTCTTTATTTTACCGAATTTTTTAGTGTAAACCGAATAACGAGGAAACATACAACATTATGTGAAAAGCAGCTTCAAATCTATTAAACTTTTCTATTTTGATTGTGTGTTTACAATTTTATTACCTCTCGCCACTTAGGCTGTAAAACATAGTTCGTCCGAAAAGTGAGGTAATTGAAAACCATTAAATAAAAAGCGCGTGCAAGCGATGTTAAAAAATGCATCAATCTACCGTATAGTTTATAATTAATAAACATTATGTCGAGAGGCATCGCGGGCACGCCTGGCCTTTGAACTATGAACTAAGTGACACCAGTTGCTAGCATATTAAAGATCCAACAAAGTCAAGCCACCAAAAGACTTTTCCCAACAGATCTTGGCTCTCTCTCTCTCTCTCTCTCTCTCTCTGATGTGTTGGCTAATACTTGAGCTTGTCTCTTGGAGCGTGTGCGCTTGGCAACATTCTCTCTCTCTTTCTCTCTCTTTCTCTCCCTCTACACCGACTTGGCGGGAGCCAAAAGCCGCAAAACTCGCGGGTAAGTCCGCCCGCGCGCGCAAGCGATTTTGACAAGTCTCGAAGCTCTCTCCACGAGAGAAGGTAGAGAAGGAAACAATGCCACATGCCTCGTACACGTTGCAAGAGAGAGAGAGAAAGACCATAGTATGGAAGGAGCTCGAGAAACTTACCGCAAGCTTGTGCTTGATGCGGGGTGTCCGAGACTTGCCGGGAGGCAGGAGCACGACGACGTCTTGGTCCTTGATGCGGCCGTCGGCACCGCCGCCGCCGCCGACATTCCTGCCGTACAAGACCCCCGACGGCGAGGACAAAGACGACGAGGAGGAGCAGGTAGTCGCGACCACGGTGCCCCCGGAGCCCGCCCGAGTGCCCGCCTCGACGCCACCACTGCCTGCGCTCGCGGTGTACTGGTGCGAGGAGCTGTAGGCCGAGACGTTCGTCACGCTGTTGCTGCCGCCGTACGAGACGTTGTGTGTGTTGTTTACCTGTCGAGAAACACACAAACACACGATATAGTACTTTTTTGCTACAATTGTATTGATGCGGCGTACATGCATGCATTATGTTTGTCTAGCTTTGCATGTTATGCATCGATGAAATATAGATCTTTCTTTACGAGCTTCTGTTAATCGATTATGTATGAATGCGGTACTAGTTCGATACGTTGCAAATTGCTATGGAAGCGCTATAAGTTGCTTATATGTAAATCGATTCAAACTCTTTACTCGCGTAATGTAAAGGGTAATGAAAATTTATAACAGTCATCAACGAATAGAGACAAATATACTGAATAAAATATTTGAATCAGTGTCTCGAGAAACAATCAAAACGCGATTCATTTGTCATGATTTTTTGTTGAATCAGATCCAATCATTCGACGTTTACAGCCCAGAAAAATGAAGACTTCCATCACGCCCAGACTCGACACGACAAGTGTCAAAGTAATAACAAATGATAGCTCTGAGCCCGCGAGCGTATCAAAAATTCATCCGTAGTCTGGCGCGATGTGTGTGAACTGTGATGAATCGTTTGTTTGTTCACCAAAAACAACATAAAAGGTCAAAAAATTCCTTCTAATTCATTTAAAGAGAAAGAAAGAGCTCGGAATAACTTTCGCTCGCACACCGATTGTCGCGTGTGAGGCAAAAATGTTTCTATAAATGTCCTCCTAGCGTTAATGTGTCACGCGCGGGCGTACGAACCCGGCGCGTAAACAAGCGCGTACGCGTATATTTTTAGCGCTTATACGATAATACGCGAAAGCATTGTCTACTCGTAAAAAGAAAGTGATAAGCAGTTTTGCCGAGACACCTTTCAGATGTATTGATTGGAAGTTGCTATTGTATTAAATTTATGACATTTTATCGTAATTAAAAAAAAAAATTCGTAATTTCATGCCAACCTGCACGAGGATGTGGCAAGCTTGATGGGCTATTTGAAAGAGGCCAGCTTGTAAATCACGTCCAGCGCCATTGTCTGTGGCACAGTTGGCATCTTGATCGTCTCTTTTGCTCCATCCGAAGAAAGACATTTTGCCTCAAAGGCAAAAATGTATACAAATAAGTAATCCGTTTTTACGTATGTTATTGAAACAAAACGTCACTTTTAATCTTCTGCATAATGCCACTCGATGAAACACACAGTCATAGTTTTAATGCAGAATCATGACTCACATTCGCAGTTTTTTGACCTGGAACGATACAAAAAATAAAATAACATATCGATTTAATATTCTAATGATATTACTCTGTATGATGAAAAAAAAACTTTCAATTTTATTCAATTCGAAATACCGAAACAACGTAATATTTCATTGAATTCAATCCATTAAAACATTTCTTCTAAATCAATTTACAAAAATGTAGATGATCAATAAGCAATACATATATTATGCATTGCCAGATAATAATTATCAGCGTCGATTCCACTAAATACAACCCTATTTGGTATAAATTAAAAATGATAATGGAAGCCCGATCAATCGGTCATTATATATGTTGAAATCGACTGCGCTCGAATTAATAACAAATGAATCGAGTTACTCAAATTGTGCACGCGGATCAATAAATGGGTATGTAGATGCACCTGGGCATCTCTTTTTCGATGCTCCACTTGTCAAAGTTAATATATTTTGAAATATTTATCAAATATTCAGAGAGGAGATTAGAATTTATTAATGAACGCGAAACGTATGCTATATAAAGTCGATCCAACCTGCTCCGAAACGATTAGCGTTAAATAAGTTCCACTTTTCGCGGAAATCGTCATCTCTGTCGCTCGTATAGCCGCGCACGACATACACTCGTACATATACTTATCGTTTGTTTGAATTATTTCCGATTCTATAGTCATTTAAAAGGCTGCGTGATGCGATGTAGATATGCGCGTTGATCGGTCTCACATATATTACGCTTATAATACGTCGATTCTCATAAACCCTCGAGACGCCGACAGCCTTACCCAGATCTGTGTACTGCACGTATATTATAGACACGCTAAGCGAAAGCCTAGTCTTCTTTACAATGTGGAATGATATTTATAATGATTATCGCGCGACGCCAATTAATGCTCGCGCGCGGTCTAAACTCTATAAACACTCGCTCGTTCAAGTACACGCGAGTATACGATGTGCTAACTGGACGTTTCACCTACCTTCTAACGTTCAGCTTTTTTTCACTGGCCGAATCATCGTTGAAAATAGAAAAAAAAGAAGTAATAACGTCAAGAGAGAGACTCGATTATTGCCAATTCCAAGGAATCACTTGTAAACGCCATGTTCTACTTGTCTTTCTCTCGCGCGATCTGAATAAATATTACGCGAGAGCGAGTATAGAGTAGAGTTCGGTTCAACGAGTTCACAAACTCTATACATGAGGCACTCGTGAATTATAAGTACAAAACTTATATCTGTCGCGCACTCGAGTCGCTCGAATTGTTAGCCTTCCTCACGTGCTCTGCTTGACTTATGAATGGCGTATTATGAAAAGTTAATATTTTTACAAAGGCGCTAAAACACGAGTCGTTCTGCGTACGTTAAATAGAAGCACTGCCTAAAATCACGATTGCCAAGCGCCATCGCCGCGAATCATGTTATCGTTCAATTTCAACTGGGGGGCCCGTATCAAGTTTTGGAACGGCACATTTTAAACATTATCTCGGAGACGATTGTCACGCACACGACTCATCATCGCGGTGTGCTTTTTCACTCACGTGCGTGACCGCGCGAAAACTTCTGCAGCGCGATCGATTCGCATAAAGTGAGTGCCGCCGCCGCCGTCAACGACGAGGAGAAGCGTTGCACAAGAAATTCACACAAAAAATTGCATATTGTATCAAACATCGAGTCACAAACACTAAACACGGTTTTAGACACGAGGGTCGTTGTTGTTGCACACGGCAGCGATCCGATGTATCGTCGTTGTCCGCGCGGCTGGACTCCCGGCTGTGCTACTATTACAAGGGAGTTTAAGCGCCGCGAAGAAAAACCGCTTGTCTCTCTCTTTCACTTACTCCACTACATGGAGGCTTTCGCGCCGCGCAAGCTGCGGTTACAAGCTCGCCTATCGTTGTTATTGTATGTATGTATGTATGTATGTATGTATGTATGTATGTATGTATGTGTGGGTGGAGGCGTGTTAGTGTATACAGTTGAACTATATACACGCTCACCCTGTACACCGGCAGACCTGCGCCGAGACGTCAACCTCGATACCAAGGCCACGTGCTGTTGCGAGCGGCTCTCTCTCTCTCTCTCTCTCTCTCTCTCTCTATCTACACCACCACCGCCACGCGCGTGTGGCTGTTTATATGTGTGTTACGTGTGCGCCGCTGTATATAGGTACATTTTTTATTGCATGCGCTATATAAGCAAAACGAGCTTGAGTTATAAACATGCAGGCTACTGAAAACCATGTTTTCGCGCGGGCTGGTGTTATATATAGACTGCTGCACACTATCCGCTGCACTACGAGAGACTAGCTAGTGGTATCATCGCGAGCGAGTAAGGTTTATTGTGTAAGTCGTGTAAGGTGAGATAACGCGACGATTGGCCCCCAACCCCGCGTATATGTGTGTGTGTGTGTGTAATTTCGTGTACAAGTGACACACAAAAATTACCGCACGCTCTGCTGCACGAGGAAGTATCATCGTGTAATAATGAAATATTCGCGAGCTTGCAGCGATATAAGTATAAGCGGTCCGCGTGCATAATAATCACGGATGGGGAGGAGGATAAACTTTTTTCTAATATTATACATGTATGCGGCGCAGCGCCGATCGACGAACTTTCTTTAATAATGGAATCGCGCGCGTAGAGAAGGCGTGTACACCTCTGCACACGTTTTACATTTATATATGCACACACGTACTCTAGTTACCTACTTTTTGACGGCGCGATATCGACTCGAGATTGAGCTGTAAATTTATTATAACTGCCCGTTTATAATATTATTCCGCGTGAATAAAGTATATTAAACGCTTTCTAGAGACCGATGAAGTGCGAGACTCGGTTGATTAATCGCGGTAATTTTTTATATTTTTCGTGTAGACGTGCCGGATTCAATATAGAATTGCACCGTGCACTCTGACTTATATAATTATGTTTACTTTACCACTTGCAGATTTAGCCGAAAAAGGTATTCGCCATCTAGTGGTAGATACTAAAATTGAAAATTGAATTTTCTAAAAATCGAAAAAAATGTATTCAATTTTTGGAAATGATGTAAATTATGAATAACATAATTCTGGAGATTTACAAAATGTGCTAGAGAGGAAGAAATTTTATTATCACTCATACAAATACGACTGACTGACTTATACAATTATTTTTACTTTGCCATTTACAGATTTACGAATCAAGGTACTCGCCATCTATTGGTGACAACCAAAAGTTATATTATCGTATGTAAAGTAGTTGAATATTTTAGTTAGAACTTTTGTATTTTCACAATACAATCGCCTAGAACATACCAATTAATTATAATGTATTTCAAATCATTTTAATTTCTCGATTTTTGGTTGTTAGACCATTATTAATTTAAGACCATTATAAAATTAACATTTTCAAATGAGCTTGAACAGAATGCGCGAACGCGCGCGTGTTTGAAAATGTTCAACTCCAGCCGAACTAGCTTAAACATCCTCCTGGAAATCAATAACGCATTATTCATAACGGCGGAAAGCTCTATTTTTGCTCTCTTTCGCATAATAGAGCGGACACCGCCTTGAGGTCACCATCATCGATTTCACACACGAATAGTGTGAGCGAAAGATATTTTTTACAAATTTTCTGTAGTTCATTGATAAAACTAACTTCATGGTAGAACTTTCAATTTTGATTTGCGTTTATTGCGTGAATAACGTTCGCTCAAATTACGATTTTTACGTTACCATAATTCTCGGTGTTTTATTGAAATATTTGAATTTACAAAATTACGCATCCTTCGTTTTTTTTAAATTATTACCCATCGACCCATCACACGCGTCACCTCGATTCTTATCTCCACGAAAACCATTAAATGCTCGTCATTCGCTACACATATATAATACACGTGCGAATGACACTTCGTCGTAAGCAGTTTTGTGCAATTCAACGCGTCGGGAATAATCACGCGTCAGAAAAAAAATGGAAGATTACTCTCACATAGTCCCAGGAGGCAAAAAAGAAGAAAACTATGTCGATCGATTCTCGATCACGCGGCAATAATACAAATCTTGCGATGATATTTTTGCATATATTTATGAATAAAAGAGTCGCATCCTATACATAAGCGTATGTATAAGCAAGAAGGATGAGAAAAAAGGCGCACAAAGAGTCGCACGCGCGAACGTATATATATATGCAGCTTTGCACACATACACAATCATACAGGCAGACACATTTGCAGCGGTATTCAACGTGGTAGTTCTTACCACCGCGAGACGCCCAGGCTCATTAACTCGCTGCATGTATACATTTACACATACACATTCATACTCATATATATGCCTGCATTGCACACCTATATATACGAATAGGTAGCTGCAGAGATCCTTTGTCGGGATTTTCTGTCTCTCATTGTCACGGGCGCCCGCCACTGTTCTTCATTCGCTTCGAGCGGGTGTGTGTGCGAGCGCGCGTATGCACGAACGCGCGGGACGATCGAGGCTTTTTTTAAAATATGCAAGCTATGCAAATGACGCGATGAGCGTATCGGGCCTTTGCGTATATATTCCTCTTTCTTTTTGCTTGTTTTCCAGCTGCATCAGCTAGACTTCAAAGTATTATATACGCTCTTGCTTTTATATTTTCACGGCTCACGGTATGGATATAAGTACACGGAATGAAACTTTTCACAACGTTTATTGTTTGCTGATTTTTGGGACACGCATTTATTTTTTGTTTATTTATTTATCGAATATTGTTTAGGCGCATAAGGGATGAGTGTCTGAAAAGGTTCTCTCAAAAACACGCAATCCCTATGCGTGTATATTTTATCCGATAACCGATAAAACTATGGATGACCTGATTGCGATGTTAAAAATGATGAACTTATCTCTTTTAATAATTACTACTATAATCAGCCATGAATAAATTAAATTTTAAAAAATGTAATGATTTCAATCTCTTAGTTATAACATAATATACTTAATTTTAGGCTTTAAAGTTAAACATGCACAAATCCCTTATCAATCAATGAATATAAGTTTTTAAGAGCCTGCTCAAGATTTCTGTCCATATATTAAATGTATTGTAGATAAAAATGACCCAACCCTGTCAACCATCTATCAAGTCGAAAGTGAAATAAATTTTGACAGGGTCTAGCGATAACATAAAATTCACAGATACTCAGAATTTTGGTTTCATAACTTTTTGGAAAGATTAAAAAAAACGAATTGTAGAATTAAGTAACGCACATTTCGATATAAAAATCACGATTACCCTTACAAGTTATTCAGTTGAGGCTAGTACAAAGAAGCTTGCAGACTTCAAAAAGTGAATAAAATGAAGATTCGACCAGTTTTATTTGCGTTTCTTCTCAGTGTTTCGTGCTTTTATGCTAAAGCAGTTAGCGAAGAAGAATCAGATACGGCAAATAATGAAATTGACCAAAACAGTAAATTTTCTTTTCGAAAATCGTCGAATTAGAACTGATAATAAAATAAACTTTCCGCACAATTCTAGCTGAATCAAGTGAACCCGAAGAGCAGCCTGATCCATTGGAAAAGTTAAGTAGACTAGAACCTTTTTTAGAAACAAGTGAATTTAACTACAGTCTATATCTCCAAGAACCCGAGGATGAACGAGTTTTGATTGGAACAAATACGCCCCTGTATATAGCGAAATACGATGAGGAAACTGAAAAAATTAAGTACCGAGCGTATCATTACGTGAGTTGATAAGTTTACTAACAAGTGTTTCATGATTAATAACTGAAGCTAATACTAAAATTTTTTATTTTAGCCCGAACCACAGACAAAGAATTCTTGTAAAAAGGAACAACATCAAAAGTGTAAGTTTTCGTTGTTTTAAATAGGCATTAAAACGATGCGTTCAAATTTTTAATAAACTTTTAATGTGCTCAGTATCACCTAAAGAACATGTTGAATCAGAAAAAACATATCACGAACACGAAGATACTGTTTATCCAGAAATATTAGTTGTTGTAGATTACTCGCTTTATAAGTAAGTGTCCAAAAATATAATAATTTTATCTATTCAGTAACTCATTTCTATATTATCTTGAATAGAAAATACGGTGGAAATGTGTTTAAAATTGCCCAAGTTGCAGCAGCTTACTGGAATAGTGTCGATCTCCTATACAGAACCATAAAAAATCCGAAAATAAGATTAAACATTGCAGGTCTTATCATTCCAGAGGTATATACTAACGGCCTTAAATTTTAAATCGAGTTTTCATGGGATACATTCATTAAGAACTTTATTTATTTTTGCATGAAACAGAGTCCAGAAGCAATTCCTTATGTTGAAAAAAATTATAACCATAACCTAGGCAGTTTTGATGATATAAAAGTGATAGAAGATATGACTTCTCATTTCGAGAATTATGGTAAACATTTGGACGGAATTCCTGAACATTCTTTTGATACTGTTATCCTCATGACTAAGTAAGATTTTTTTCAAAATTACTTTCCTTTTAATTACACATGTAAATGATGATACAATTCTTTTTTAGTCGATTAAATCTTAGATACGTGGCGGGTAAGAAACTTATAGCTATATCTATTATAATCTATCATAATTTATTCGTAATTTTAATATGTATTACTTATTTTTTTGTTAAAGGATTGGCGCTACCAAGTGCAAAATTTGGAAAAGACACAATTGCGTTTGTAAGTGGCGACTTTGAAAATCACTTCTACACTGTCATAGCTGGTGCACACGAGCAGGGACATTTGTAATTAATCTATCATATACATTTATTACTCCTTGTAGAAACATTTTTTAAAGTTTTTCACCAAAATATCTTTGTAATTCATAGATTGAATTCTAAACACGATTGGAAAAGCGGTTGTCCTGGATCTCATCATATAATGAGTTATAGTCATACGAGAAAAGCTGCGTACGATTGGTCTCAATGTTCACTCCGTGATATTACACAATTTCTCAAGTACAGTATAAACAATCTGTCATTAGCTAATTCAAAAATAATAATTTTTAATATTTATCATCATCGATAATGTAATTAGTCAACCAGAAAATAAACATTTGCGAAATCGTCCAAACATTGGCAAGCCACATCCACGAGTTCTTTCAGGTAGTTTCTCTACTCGGGACCGGCAATGTCAATCGATTGGCTACAATTTGTCTAATTATTGGAGTTTAATTCCTAGTAATTTTGCACACGTTGTAAGTATTTTTAATAATTAAGTATAAAATGATTAAGCTAGTCAAAAAATGTACTATTTTTTACGTTAGCCCCAAGATAAAGTAGAAGATTGTTCAGTTCAATATTGTGCCAGAAGAAATGCCGAAACAGATTACGAAGCAGAAGAAATTGAGACCGTTTTGCCACCATTAGACGGTACAAGTTGTGGTTGTGGCAAGGTATATATCTTCAAAATATCTTTACGATCATGAGCGCATGATTGAAATAATCGATTTATTTTTCAGATATGCTTCCACGGCGAGTGTGTAGAAGACCAAGAATGAAAAAATTATTGTATAAGCTGTGTCTTAAGTATTGGATGCGATAAAACTACGAATCTAAGAGCCAATTAGTTTTTATACTTTAATCGTAAATGGTCAAGTTAAAAATCTCCCCATTTGCGGAGATTTTCAGATGAGGAGAAACTTTGATTGACTCAATGCACATATTAAAAATTAATAAAGTTTTATATTCGATTATACGTTGAATTAAAACTAATTTCAATAAAATTGAGTCGTTGCAAATTTTTTACAGCTAGTAAAAGGTTCTACAGTAAATTATGCAATTTCAAAGTTTAAAATTGTATATACTCATGAATTTGTATTCAAAATATAATAATAAACACTATGCACATAATATTTGTTATCGTACAATCATTGAATCTGTTGCCGCTGTCGAAATTCGCAGAGCATCAATGTAAGATTTTGGATCAATGAAAGTACTAAGAAAAAGATGAAACTAAAGAAAAGCTTTTTTTAATTTTGAAGATACGTGAAAAGTATTTTCTGGGCTAAATTAAAGTATTAAACGGGTTCTACTTTGGTCTATTCGGTAAAAATTATTGTTATTATGGATCACGTCTTTCTTAGCAAAAATAATTAGGCCATCAGCAAATTCATCACAAATTACTAGTGCATGTTTGATAAATTTAACATATCGAGAGGTTAATCAAAAATCCAGTATCACACTAAAAGCTTGCTCCTTTGACAACTCCAAACAAGACGTGAAAAAAATTTTCGGATCTAATCGTTGCATGAATAGTTGCAGGAACCAAGTAGCCTAAAAATGTGTGAAAAATAATAATTAGCAGCTCGCAAAATTTAGTTTCATTTAACAAAAGGGTTCCACGACGACAGTGAACGAAGGTGTAATGACAGTTGAACCCGAGGTTATGATGGGGTAATACACCATTATTTCAGCACAATTTTTATTGATATTTTAGAAAAATATACGTATAAATATCTATTCATATTTTATACATATTTACAATTGTAAATCATCAATTTTTCTTGCATTTGTTGCGAGCAAAATCTTTGCGACCTTCGTGTACTGAATTTTGGTGCCTGTTCAAATCTACGGTCTGTCAAATATAAATATCAAATCTCTTTTATACCTACATATCTTCTCGCAATTATCTCATGCAAAATCGCTGTGACCTTCATGAACTGTTTGGTGGCAGAGCAAATGCGCTTTTAGTCAAAATTTCTTTTCGCAATTGTCACATGCGTAATCTTTCCAACCTTCATGTAATATCTTTTGATGCAAGAGCAAAGTCGATTTTCTTCCAAATTTCCTTTCGCACTTGTTGCATGCAAAAGGCTTGCGACCTTCGTGGACTGTCCTTTGATGCTTCAGCAAATCTGATTTGATTCCAAATTTCTTCTTGCAATTTTCACATGCAAAATCTCTTTGACTTTCATGAAATGACTTTTGGTGTAAGAGCAAAGCCGGTTTTCTTCCAAATTTCTTCTCTCAATTGTCACATGCAAAATCTTTCCGACCTTCATGTAATATCTTTTGATGCAAGAGCAAAGTCGATTTTCTTCCAAATTTCCTTTCGCACTTGTTGCATGCAAAAGGCTTGCGACCTTCGTGGACTATCTTTTGGTGCTTAATTAGATTTGATTTATCTCCAAATTTCTGCTCGCACTTATCGCATGAGAAATCTCTCCGACCTTCATGGACTGTCTTTTGGTGGGTGAGCAAATTGAATTTATTTCCAAATTTTTTATCGCATTTGTCACATGGAAAATCTTTGCGACCATCGTGTACTATTTTTTTATGTCTTTTTAAAATGCCTCGTTCCCCAAATTTCTTCTCGCACTTGTCGCATAGGTAGTCTTTGCGGCGCTCGTGTATTGTCTTTTGATGTAACAACAAACTCGCTTGTTGTGTAAATTTCTTCTCACACTTGTCACATGAGTAATCTTTGCGACCTTCGTGTACTGCTCTTTGATGCATAAGCAAATGCGATTTTTGGCCAAATTTTTTTTCACACATATTGCACGGGTGATCTTTGCGACCTTCGTGTAGTGTTTTTTGATGGAAGAGCAAACTAGATTTTTGTGTAAATTTTTTTTCGCACTTGTCACATGAAATATCTTTACGACCTTCGTGTACCGTTTTTTGGTGTTTTTTCAAATTACTTTGAACCCTAAATGTCATCTCATATTTGTCACATGAGAAATCATTATGGACTTTGAAGGCGTGTATCGTCTTTTGGTGAATAAGCAAATCCGATTTTTTTTTAAATTTCTCCCAGCACTTGTCGCATGCAAAATCTTTACGACCCTCATGCACTGTCTTCACGTGTATGAGCAAACTATGTTTATTTCCAAATCGTTTCGCACACATTTCACATAAGTAATTTTTGAAAGCGTCGTGGAATATTTTTTTGTGTTTAAGTAAAGTGGATTTATTTTCATATTTTTTCTCACACTTGTTGCAAGTAAAATTTTCGCGATCTTTGTGAACTAATTTTTGGTGCGTTGACAAACTCGTTTTTTTCACAAATTTCTTTTCGCATCTATCACATGCAAAATCTTCGCGGCTTTTATGTTCTGATATTTGGTGTCTACTCAAATGACTTCGGAACTCAAATTTCTTCTCACATTTGTCGCATTCATAATAGTTTTGTCGATTATGAATTGTGTCTCGATGTGCTATCATGCTTGATTTTAGTGTAAATGCCTCCTGACAAATATCACAAATGTATTTTTTGTCGTCTGAAACAACAATGTCATGTTCACTTGAAATATTTTCCAAGATAACTTCTTCAGATTTCTTCTTGTTATCCATTCTGGTGCTTAAAATAAACGATAGATCTTTCTATTTGGTACTACGGAAATTGAATGAGTAAAACTTTTATTTTGGCATTGTAGCTATATTTTGGTATTATTTCATCGAGAAGATAATATTCAAATTAATTTATATTTATTGTAAACATGATCAGTGTGTCGAGAAACTGTGAAAACCGTTTATGATCATGTGGTTCACGATTAAGGTAACGGTTTATCTGCTTATACATTATTCTTACAGTATTTGAAACAATTTTAAATTCTAACTTCAAAGCCAAGTACTTTCCAAAAAACTTCCAACAGACAACATCGAGCTCACACAAAACACATCAAATAAATAGATATGGATCCTTATACACATATAAAATGAAAAATTGTGTTATTCATTCCAAAATTTACTGCCTCTGCGCCATGGCGTAATTGGCATGCTTCATAACCCGCCATTGATCACAGAAATAAACAATTTGAGATCCATTACTTTAAATAATCGTGTGCTCATCAATAAAAAATCGAAACTCCTTTAAAAAAACTTATTTCTAAACAAGCCACCATTTGATGTTACGCTCTATACATAATGCTTCTTGGTATTTGATCAATCCTTTATACTAAAAGGCGAGAAACAGCCAAGTCAGCTGTCGCATCTGTGATATATCTATATGTATCGTAAAGCAATCGATGATTGCGCCGTAAAGTGGAGACGACGCAGGCACAAGCACAGCGGTACTTGCATGAGTAAGTGCGCGCGCGCCCTTTCGTGCAAAATCAAAGATGAGGCCTCTTCTCTTCGGGATGCGGGATTGAATGGATTGAATGGACCCCTCCCGGTGGCGTGCCTACAATAGTAAAAGCTACGCGCAGCGCGGCCGTAATTACGTAATGAAACGAGATGTCTGTAAAAGCGCTTACAGCGGAAAGCCCCGTATAAATAGGTGAAAACTCGTTTAAGTACTTCGGAAAAAGGAAGAGTCGGCTTCTCGTGCGGCTCGATAAATTGTGCAGCGCGCCGCAGAGAATCGGTATGGAAGGATCATATAATACGTGTCGAATTCGATGAATGAGGTCAGGTTTAAATTTTTATAACAAAAATCAAAAACGAGAGGTGGTGTATACAATTACTCGTCACCGTTGAAAAAGCTCAGTATGAAACGCGTCATCGCGAGTACTATCTCTGTAAGAAAGGTTGAAAAAAAAGTTTCACCACAAAACTTCGCGCGGTTCATATATTTTTTTATCTCCTTCAACGCAAACATCGGGCGCAACAAAGCGACTGATCGCGAACGATTAGGCGCACGATAGTTTCTCATTTGTCTTCTCTCGTCGCCGTCGACGCAAAACTATTACTACCTAACTCGTTCGCAAAACTGTATAAAAGCGTACACGTCTGCACACGAGCCCGCACATACGCGTGCTGCCCTGCATATTGTGTGTATGTGCTACTATATGTATCCCATACAGC